TCTGTCTGTCTGAATTCGAAAGTCCCAAAGTAGTTTGACGTGTTCATTCTCTGTTGTTGTTGTTGTTGTTGTTGTTATTAACTCTATAAAATGGCATACCAACATAACTCTCTCATAAAGTCTCTCTCATTTTCCTTCATCTTGGGGAGGTCTTTGCTTCCGGATTTGGCACCCGCAGTTAGCGAGCTTGCTAGGCATCTCTGGGGACTTAGAAAACTACACATTTCGGCATCAGGGGTGTTAACCCTTCCCTCTGCTATCTAGACCTTACATACAAATTCTGCTTAAGAACAAACCTACAGAACTTACCTTGTTTGTAACTTGGGGACTGCCTGTATACTTCTTAAATAGTGTGAGGTTATACCAGGCATGGGCAAACTTGTGCCTTCCAGATGTTTTGGACTTCAACTCTCACCATGCCTACAGCTTAAGCGGCTGAGGGGGAAAAGGAAGGGGGCTGAGGCTGTTAGGGATGGTGGGAGTTGAAGTCCAAAACACCAGGAGGGCCCAAGTTTGCCCATGCCTGGGTTATACAGATTATGGAGTTGCTTACAAGTGATTGATGTTGTTGTTTATTTGTTCGGTTGCTTCCGACTCTTCGTGACCTCATGGACCAGCCCATGCCAGAGCTCCCTTGTCGGCCGTGGCCACCCCCAGTTCCTTCAAAGTCAAGCCAGTCACTTCAAGGATACCATCCATCCATCTTGCCTCGGCTTCTCCAAGTAGCATTTTGACCATCTTCCAACCTGGGAGTCCCATCTTCCGATGGCATACCGACGTATCACTGGTTGTACTGATTTATTTAGTTTTCATGGCAAGAATACTGGGGTGGGTTGATAATACCTTCTCCAAGGATTGTGTTTGGTCAGACCTCTCTGCCATGACCTTCTCGTCTTGGGTGTCCCTTCAAGGTTTCGCTCGTGACATCATTGAGGTGCTCCGCGGCAAGGCAATGATCCTTTGTTGGAGACAAGTGACTGATGGAAAAGTCTATAAGGGCAAGATCCTGCAACAGCCAAGATCTGGTCAATGCTGATAGTAGCTGAATATACGGTACTGCAGATAGATGAATGTAATAATAGAAAAAATTCTAAAATAAAACTACTACAGGTGGCAAAGAGCTGGAATAAACTCTCCCTCTTGATGGACTCATTTTCTGGTTGCAGGGAAATCTGAAATGCTACAGCACTTTCTACTATTTCATAAAATCGTAGAGTTGGAAGGGACATTCAGTCCAACCTCCTGACATGCAGGATTACACAATCAAAGCACTCCCAGCAGATGGCCATTGAGCCTCCAGGGAAGGAGACTCCACTAGACTCCAAGCCAGCATATCAAGAAGCCCTTACCATGTTTAAGTGGACTCTCTTTTCCTGTAGTTTGAATCCGTGTCCTAATTTCTGAAACAGCAGAACACAAGCTTCCTTCGTCTTCAATGTGACATGCTTTCAAATATTTATTGGTATCATGTCACCTCTTAACATCATCCGGGATAAAATATCCAGCTCTCTAAAGGGATTCATAGTTTCTAGGTCATTTACCATTTTGGTCGCTCTCTGTACATGTTGAATATCCCCTTCTACATAGATCAGGATGTAGCGCAACCAGACGGCTTGTTTGATATATAAATTCCACTAAATGTAAAGCAAACCATACTACTATGAAAGCATGGCAGACTGATTCATAATGTCTGTTTTGGGATAAGAGAAAATCAAGAAGAAGACGGCCACTTTACCAAGCTTTTTCTCATTCTCTCTCAGTCCAATTTACCTCCCAGGCCTCTACTGACAATAGCTGCATTCCTGCATCCCCGTAGCAGAATGAGACATTCTTTGGTTGCTGTGAGTTTTCTGGGCTATATGGCCATGTTCCAGAAGCATTCTCTTCTGATGTTTCACCAACATCTATGGCAGGCATCCTCAGAAGTTGAGGGGTCTGTTGGAAACTAAGTAAGTAAGGTTTATATATCTGTGAAATGTCCAGGGTGAGGGAAAGGACTCTTGCCTGCTTGAGGAACGTGTGAATGTTGCAATTTGCCACATTGATTAGCATTTAATGACCTGCAGTTTCAAGGCCTGGCTGGTTGCTGCCTGGGGGAATTCTTTGTTTACAATTTATAAATTGCCTTCTGCCAGGGTGATTTAAATGAGTGTTAAAGTGCTTTCAAAGCATAAATCATTTCAAGATGGCACATAAAATGAAATCAGTTGTAAAACAAATACAAAACAAAACAAACAAAAGTAGGTACATCAATAATATGAAAAGGCCAGTGAAAACAAGTGGCTCTTCTCTTCAATGCTTTTCTAAAATTTTGAAAGGAAAGGGCCTTTGGAACTTCCTGGGGAAACTAATGCATAGTTTAAAATAGTGGCAAATAATATTGCAAGCACAATAGAAAAGTAAGAGGGCAGACAAAAGGGAGGTAAACAAAGCAAGCAAATTCAGGCACAATGAAGACAATGAGTAGACGACAAGCCAAATGTTAGTTAACCCCAGCAAAACTAAAAAAGTGTTGTGGTTCAGCCAGATGAAAATGAGGAGTTTGGGGGTTTGGGGCCTGATGGTTCTGTAGGTGAGAAAACAGAGGGGTTTTTAGAGCAAGATGCTTCTGTAGATGAGGGAGTGGAGGGGGCTTTGGAGCAAGATACTGTTGCTGCGACAGAGTGTGAAAGTGGAACTGTTTTGGAATCCGACAGGCAGGGAGAGGAGGATAACATTAGCTCATCTGAGGGAGCTGCTGGCTTAGACTGAGATGCCAGGCTTCTGAAGGGGCAGAGATTCAGGTATAGGAAATCGGAAAGAATCTGTGAGTCAGGCAGAAGCAGGCCTCTCAAGATCAAAGGAATGTGTTCAGGTTTTGCAGTCCTTGAATCAGTGAGAGAGCTGTTAGGGTTTTAGATCAAGCAATGTCACTACTGGAGTACTTACTTACTTAGGCAATCCCTTGAGTAGGATAGTCTTCCAGGATTAGTGTACTTGCGGTGGGTCCGTAGGTGACTGTGGAGCCCTATCCTTGACCTGCATCTTCCGCAGTGAGGGCATTGGTTTCCAGGTGGAAGGCGGTCCTGGTCGGGGTTGGCTTGACTCGCCTTCTTCTTGGCATGTTTCCCTCTTTCACCCTCCATTCGTGCCTCTTCAAATTCTGCAGCACTGCTGGTCACAGCTGACCTCCAGCTGGAGCGCTCAAGGGCCAGGGCTTCCCAGTTCTCAGTGTCTATGCCAGAGTTTTTAAGGTTGGCTTTGAGCCCATCTTTAAATCTCTTTTCCTGTCCTCCATTTCCGTTTTCCGTTCTTGAGTTTGGAGTAGAGCAACTGCTTTGGGAGACGGTGGTCGGGTATCCGGACAACGTGGCCGGACAGTGGAGTTGATGGCGGAGGACCATCGCTTCAATGCTGGTGGTCTTTGCTTCTTCCAGCATGCTGACATTTGTCCGCTTGTCTTTCCAAGAGATTTGCAGGATGTTCCGGAGGCAGTGCTGATAGAATCATTCCAGGAGTTGCATGTTCCGTCTGTAGACAGTCCACGTCTCACAGGCATATAGCAGGGTTGGGAGGACAATAGCTTTATAAGCAAGCACCTTGGCATCCCTACAGATGTCCCGGTCCTCAAACACTCTCTGCTTCATTCGGAAAAATCTGCACTCGCAGAGCTCAGGCGGTGTTGTATTTCAGTGTCAATGTTGACTTTTGTGGAGAGGTGGCTGCCAAGTAGCAGAAATGGTCAACATTTTCTAATGTTACACAATTAAGCTGTATTTCTGGCATTGGAGAGGGATTGGCTGGTGACTGCTGGAAGAGGACTTTGGTTTTCTCGATGTTCAATGACAGGCCGAACTTCTCGTATGCTTCTGCAAAGGTGTTTAGAGTGGCTACTGAAGTGAGGAACTCCTGTCTCATTCTTAGTTCATGCCTTAGGTCAAGACACAAGATTCATGCTCATGTTTTGCTTCTTGTTTTATGGATTTCCCTTTGGATTCATGTTCATGATTTGTCCCTTATTTCCTGGACTTATTTTGGAATTAATGTTCCTGTTTTAACCATTGTTTTCTGGATTAACCTATTGCCTTTGGGACTTGCTTCTTTCAGTAACTATTGTATTTTTCTCTTCCGTTTGCTTAAGATGCCTTTGCCCTTTTTGATATGTGTTTTTATTAAGAAAGTATTTATTACCACGTTTGGTTTCTTGGTGAGGGCTTTGAGCAAGGTGAACTCCTGCTGAGTTGCAACACACATGTGTGTTGCTTCTCTCTTCTGGAAAGTGATGATACAGAAAATGAAAATGATCGGATTGACTTCTACTTCAATCAGACACACTAGTGTTGTTTAATTGTAGTCAAAATTTTTTACTGACCTGTCTGTCTTTCTTTCAATAGATTTATGCACATGCTGATTCAATTACAATCATATATTAAGTAGAGGAATGGGCAAACTTGGTCTCTCCAGGTGTTTTGGACTCCAACTCCCACCATTCCTAACAGCCTCAGACCCTTTCCTTTTCCCCCTCAGGGGGAAAAGGAAAGGGCCTGAGGTGTTAGGAATGGTGGGAGTTGAAGTCCAAAACACCTGGAGGCCCAAGTTTGCCCATACCTGGGAAATTAGGAAACTCAGTTCTTGTGGGTTTTTTCGGGCTATATGGCCATGTTCTAGAGGCATTTCTCCTGACGTTTCGCCTGCATCTATGGCAAGCTTCCTCAGAGGTCTGCTGGAGCTGGGAAAAAGGGGTTTATATATCTGTGGAATGACCAGGGTGAGACAAAAGGCTTTTGTAAGTTGGGCTAGGTGTGAATCTTTTCAACTGACCACCTTGATTAGCATACAATGGGCTGACAGTGCCTATATAAACCCCTTTTTCCCAGCTCCAGCAGACCTCTGAGGAAGCTTGCCATAGATGCAGGCGAAACGTCAGGAGAAATGCCTCTAGAACATGGCCATATAGCCCGAAAAAACCCACAAGAACTGAGTGATTCCGGCCATGAAAGCCTTCGACAATACATTCAATGGAAAGACTTCAGCTTTAAGTCATCACTTCTCTTCCAAAATAACTCAGTGATCCAGTAACAGAAATTTGGAAGCACAGTTGAACCAGCTATCAAAAAAAACCCCAAATCTCATTACGTACCTGGAAAAAAAAATCAGATGATGTCAAACATTTTAAAAACAGTTTTCACACTCAAAAAATATCAAAGCAAATCACAATGACACGCAAAAAAAATAGCATTAAAAGTTGCACTTGCTTTTGACACTAGATTCAGTTTGCTAACAGCGAGGGCAAAAGGCTTGATTGGTGTGCTTTTCTCACAGAGAGTATAGGACAATGGGAAACATGAAAAAAGTCTCAGCATGATTCACAGGATGGCTTTTACATTCATCTGGTTCAAGTCTCAGATCTGCTCTCCAAGATTGGGTTTTAGCTGCCACGGCCTATTATTTTCCAGAGGGAAAAGCCACTGTTTTCCAGCGGGATATTTATGGAGTGTACTGATATGTTGAACTGCACAGAGATCCACTGCTGAGATAGCTCAAGGTCTTGATATATTAAGCATACATCCAGATCTAACAGTACGAATCACAGTAGTCGCAGGGGCTTGCTGTAGTTTGCAGGCACAAGGAATAGACTGCTTCTGTGTAGCGACAGACTTGCCGCTTCCTGCATGACTCCAACAACCTTAATGCCGCAAGTTGTGGCGTGAATCCATGTAGTGAAGGATTGCTCCCAGGGCCCAGCTGGTTTCAGAGTCTTTGATTTTTCGAGCAAGCTAGAAGGGGAAGAGAAATGGACAAGGCTTTGTAAATGGCTACGTCTCCCTTGACTGCTGTATACATTTATCACTTGATTACTGTATTGTCTATCATAGGCCATGGAGCCTCCGGTGATGCAGTGGATTAAACCCCTGTGCCGGCAGGACTGAAGACCGACAGGTTGCAGGTTCGAATCCGGGAAGAGGCGGATGAGCTCCCTCTATCAGCTCCAGGTCCTCATGCGGGGACGTGAGAGAAGCCTCCCACAAGGATGATAAAAACATCAAATCATCCAGGCGTCCCCTGGGCAACATCCTTGCAGACGGCCAATTCTCTCACACCAGAAGCGACTTGCAGTTTCTCAAGTCGCTCCTGACACGACAAAAAAAACATAGGTCATTGTAAGCAGGACTCAATTCCATTAAAAAGCACTGTGGCTCTGCTGATATGACAGTTATATGGCCCATTCACTCAGTTGGCACTATAGCTTCAACCATGCTGCTGAACTACTGGCCTGAAGGTTGGTTGCTCAAGGCTCCGGGTTGGGGTGAGCTTCCGCTGTTAGCCCTAGCTCCTGCCAACCTAGCAGTTTGAAAACACGCAAATATGAATAGATGAATAGGTACTGCTTCGGTGGGAAGGTAATAAAGACGCCCCTGCAGCCATGCCGGTAACGCAACAATTATTTAATTATTTAAAATATTTGCACCCGGCCCTTCTCTACCCCCCGAAAAGGGACTCAGGGCGGTTTACAGCTGGCAACAATTCATGCACAGAGGCGGCCCTAGGTAATTTTCAACGTAAGCAAACAGTATTTTGGCACACACACCCTCCCCAAACCAATCATTGATATATATTTTCTGTTCGTCATGGGAGTTCTGTGTGCCATATTTGGTTCAATTCCATCATTGGTTGAGTTCAGAATGCTCTTTGATTTTAGGTGAACTATACATCCAGTAACTACAACTCGCATATGTCAAGGTCTATTTTCCCCCAAGAGTGCCTCAAGAGCGCCCCTGGGCAAAATCAACTATACTGCAAATGCTTACTTTGCGTAATGGGTTGAGCCGCCTCTCCCCCCCCCCATATACACACAGAAAAAAACAGCAATTACAAAATAGATAAAACATTAATATAAATTAAAACCATTTTAAAAAGTGCAAATTTAACAAGTTGGCCAAATCTAAATCTGAGTTCTACAACCAACAACCAGGAGATGTCTATGGACAACAGACTCTTTGGCTTGGAAAATGGAAAAAGAACACCTCCCCATGGCCAGGGTTGAGCATCACCTTTGATGTTATAGTAAGTCTACTCATGTCCGACCCTTGGGGGGTGGGGGTGGTGCTCATCTCCATTTCTAAGCTGAAGAGCCGGCGTTGCCCATAGACACCTCCTAGGTCATGTGGATGGCATGACTGCATGGAGTGCTGTTACCTTCCTGCTGGAGCAGTACCTATTGATTTACTCACATTTGGATGTTTTTGAACTGCTAGGTTGGCAGAAGCTGGGGCTAACAGAGGGAGCTCACCCCACTCCCTGGATTCGAACCACCAACTTTTCGGTCATCAAGTTCAGCAGCTCAGTGGTTTAACCCGCTGTGCCACTAGAGGGTAACTATAAATTAAGCTCAGTTTAAAACTATACAAACCATCAGACATAACCATAAAACATTAAAACATTAAAGCATCACTCCCATGGTTTCCCTTAGCTGCTTGAGTATTGCCATCATTCGTCAAATGCCTGTTTGCATAGCCAAGTTTTAAGTTGTTTTCTGAATGTCAGGAGGGAGGGGGCCATCTAATGTTGGTGGGGAGGGAGTTCCACAGTCTAGGGGCCACCACTGAGAAGGACCTGTTTCTTATCCTCATCAACTGCACCTGTGAAGGTGATAGGACCAAATGCAGGACCTCCTTAGCCGATCTTACTGCTTTAACTGGCTCATAAAGGGAGATGCATTCGGATAGGTAAGCTGGACTGGAACTGTTTAGGGCTTTATAGGCTAAAGCCAGCACTTTAAACTGTGGAGCTGACTTAACAGGGGAGGTTGTGTGCTTCCTGTATGTCACTCCAGTAAGGAACATGGCTGCCTCTAGTTGGACTACTTAAAGCTTCTGAACAGTCTTCAAAGGCAACCCCACGCAGAGCGCATTGTAGTAGTATATTCGAGACTATTCCAAATTGTGTGAATGCTTCCCTGGTCACCACCGAAACCTGAGGTTCCAGGCTCAGCGATGAGTCCAAGATCACTCCCAAGCTGCGAACCTGTGTCTTCAGGGGGAGTGTAACCCCGTCCACCTCAGGCTAAACATATAGCTAAGAATACATACCTTAAAAACGTAATTCTTTGGAAAGCCTAGTTCTTCCAATAGAAAAATTATGTAAGTGAGATCCATGCAGAGAAATGGATGCTCTCCTTTATCAACTTCCATGGCTTTGCACGCTTTGGGGAAGAAAAAAGGGAGGTATAAAAAGCAGTTTATATTGTCAATAGCAATGATAACCATGAAGCATTTTACTGTCTGTTTATTTGCTGCTGTGGCCAGATCTTTTCAAAAAACGATTATAGGTTTTACAATATAAATAGATTAAAACCGAAAGAAAAAGAACTAACTTGAAAACTGGGTTTTTGTAGGTTTTCGGGCTGTATGGATACATTCTAGAACAGTGGTTGTCAACCTGGGGTACCCAGATGTTTTTGGCCTTCAACTCCCAGAAATCCTAACAGCTGGTAAACTGGCTGGGATTTCTGGGAGTTGTAGGCCAAAAACATCTGGGGACCCAGGTTGAGAACCACTGTTCTAGAAGCATTCTCTCCTGACATTTCACCTGCCTCTATGGCAGGCATCCTCAGAGGTTGTGAGGTCTATTGGAAACTAGAAAATTGGGTTTATATATCTAAGTCTAATTCTATACTAATTCTCCGAGCTGCTTCTTCGTCGTCATTTGTCGTCTTTTTCTTTTTTTATGGGAGAAAGAACTTTTGTCTGTTGGAGGTAGGTGTGAATGTTTCAATTGGCCACCTTGATTAGCATTTGATGCCCTGACAGTTTTTTAAGTCCAAAACACCTGGAGGGACAAAGTTTGCCCATGCCTGCTCTAGAGGTTTAAGTGGTAAGCGGGTGGTGCTGGATGCTCTCACTAATTTATTCTAAGATGGGAATCCATTTTTCAATAAAGGCAATTTGTTTAACAGGCTGGTGACAGAATCACAAATAATCTGATAATTTTTCCATTAACAAAGTATCCCAGACTCTGCACCACTTATCACACAGCGAGAGGGCTCCTGTTTTCCAGTTTTTAGCAATTTCTATTCTGGTGGCTGCGATCAGAAAGCATATCTATGATTTATGTTGCAGGTTCTCATTCCTACCTGGTGATACTGACAACAGAACAAGAGTAGGGCATAGGACAATAGCTTGTTCAGCGATATCTATGATAATAGGAATTACTTTCATCCAGAATGCATTCACCTTCATACAGGAAAACTGTTGAAGCATGCAAGGAAACAGTTAATGCGTGTGTGTCAACTATAAAATAAGATGCATGAAGCTGATTGGTCGGGCAATGCCTGGGGAGCAGGCTGAGCCTGGGACTTTTGGATACAGTTACATTTTTGTTCAGACTTGTAAGTACTCAGAGAGAAGAAGAGAGAAGCAAAGAGAGACAGAGTTTGGAGTGTACTCTTGCTTCATGAGCCGCTGAAGGAGTTTGTCCACATGGACAGAGAAAGACCATTTTAAATCTCTCATAAAAGGACATTGTGTGAGTTGATGCCACTGATCACATTGTACATATTGAACTACAGAGAGTAAACTACTTGTTCTTTACTGTTCATATGTATGGCATGTTTTCTTTCTCTGACAAGACAGTATGTAGGCTGATCAAATGTGAACTACACGAGGTTGATTTTACATTATGCCACAAAAACCACATATGGATGTAAGTGCCTTCAGTGTTGCATCCACACCAACATTTAGTAGATGTGCTTTTTGTGGTCCTTGCTATGCGAATCAGAGTGGAATGCCATTCGTGGTTTAATTTTAGAGTACATTCTTCTTTGAGAGTGGATCTCATAGCGAAATCTTTTTTATGGTTTCCTGGCTCAGCCAAGGTAACAATGAAGAAAGAAATATCAGCTTACCTTTCTTTGCAGCAGTTTCAAAGTCACTGACTGCTAGAGTTCCTCCTTTTTCAGCATCTAAATGGCAAATAAAAGAGCTCTTCAGTTTTGAGAAGAAAAAAGGAAGGAAATTTGAAACTGGGTTGCTATGAGTTTTCTGGGCTGTATGGCCACGTTCCAGAAGCATTCTCTCCTGACGTTTCACCTACATCTATGGATAGCATCCTCAGAGGTTGTGAGGTCTGTTGGAAACTAAGTTTGGCCAAAACAACAGGAGAGAATGCTTCTGGAACATGGCCATACAGCCCGGAAAACTCATAGCAACCTAGTGATTCCGGCCATAAAAGCCTTCGACAACACATATTTGAAACTGTTAAGAAGTGGGAATACCCTTGAAAAGCATTCTGAAGCTACAGCTAATGAAAAATATAGCCATACTGTTATCTGGCATACCTTTTAGAGATGACATATCACCACTGGAATTCAATGCATTGGCATCAAATTCATTTTACGCTCAATTCGAAGCGCTGGTTTTGATCAGCAAAGCCCTAAATGGGTTTGGGCCAGGATACTTGAAATAGTACTATTTCCCATGGCTTCTTGCTGGTGAAAACTAGGCTTTTGACAGGTAAAGTTTTTCCCCGACTTTGTGTCTAGTCGCGTCCGATTCTGGGGGGTGGTGCTCATTTCCATTTCTAAGCCAAAGAGCCGGCGTTGTCCGTAGACACCCCCAAGGTCATGTGGCCAGCATGACTGCATGGAGTGCTGTTACTTTCCTGCAGAAGTGGTACCTATTGTTCTACTTACATTTGCATGTTTTCAAATTGCTAGGTTGGCAGAAGCTGGGCCTAACAGCAGGAGCTCACCCCACTCCCTGGATTCGAACTGCCAACCTTTCAGTCAGCAAGTTCAGCAGCTCAGTGGTTTAACCTGCTGCACCACCAAGAGGCCTATCCAATGCAATTTTCTGAATAAACACTCCAAATAACTCCAGGAACAGGCTTAAACACCACAAAATTACAAAGCAGTCCTAAATAACATATTTGCTCGGTTGGGTTTTACCACAATGGGTTGACCCCAAGCAGCAGAAAATCTTGCCAACTGAAAGGGTGGCAGTACAAGCCCGGGTTGGGGTGAGCTCCCTGCTGTCAGCCCAACTTCTGCTCACCTAGCAGATTGCAAACAGAAATGTGAGTAGATAAACAGGTACTGTTTTAAAGCGGAAAGACAATAAAAGGTGCCCATAAGGACATGCCAACAATTCGACTGGGATGTCATCCATGGACAACAAAAAGCTCCTTGGCATGGAAGATGGAGTGACAGCACCCCCCGGAGTCGAGCATAGCATCCAGATGCCAGAGATGGAAAAAGATGGGAAAGCCTATACCTCTGTTTATGTATTGTCTATCCTTGTCAATCGTATAACAGCATTGAATGTTTGCCATATATGTGTTCTGTAATCCACCCTGGGGAGATAGAGTGAAATATCAATAAAGATTATTATTATTATTTGAAACACAACAAGATGAGTCCACAGATGACACTCTACTAACTGTTGTATTGGATCACACATCGGACACTTCCCAAGTGACTAGGACTGTGTGATGTATCGGCGAATAATGTGTGCAGATCCCAGTAAGGTGACCTTTTGCGGCTGGCGCTGATTGCGTTTAAGTGCAGGCCAAGGTCTTTAGGCACTGCACCCAGTGTGCCGTTCATCACTGGGATCACCTTGATTGGCTTGTGCCAGAATCTTTGCAGTTCAATCTTTAAATCCTCATATTGTGTCAGCTTTTCCAGTTGTTTCTCTTCAATCCTGCTGTCACCTGGGACTGCAATATTGACAATCCATATTTTGTTTTTTAACAGGAGTATTGTGCTCCAAAACTCTGTCTGTCTGAATCCGGAAGTCCCAAAGTAGCTTGACGTGTTCATTTTCGGTAACTTTTTCAGACTTGTGATCCCACCAGTTCTTTGTTGCAGACAGATGGTATTTGTGGCACAAGTTCCAATGAATCATCTCCGCAATGGTGTTATGCCTCTGCTTGTGGTCCGTCTGTGCAATCTTCTTGCAGCAGCTGAGGATGTGATCTATTGTTTCATCTGCTTCCTTGCAGAGTCTACACTTGGGATTTGTCGTCGACTTTTCAATTCTGGCTTTGATAGCATTGGTTCTAATGGCTTGTTCTGCGTTATTATTTATTTATTTATTTGCATTATTTATATCCCGCCCATATCAGCCCGTAGGCGACCCAGGGCGGTCTACATATCAGCACAATTTGATGCCATCAATACATACATTCAAAAAGCAAAAACAATTAAGTGCATTTAGACAAGAAAGACAGTGCAATAACAATTTAAAAGGAGCTGTATCCTCTCATTACTGAACTTTCCTTGTCTATTTCACATATGTATATCATCAGTCAATTGGTATGGGGATGTTAACATAATGCAGAACTAGAACTAGAAGATCTGAAGTGTCTTCCATGACGACGGAGCATGAAATGTAAGCAACATAAGATGCAAAATGCATGGGATGTCGGTCCCCAAGCCACCCTCCCAATGCCACCTGGTCACTCTCCTCCATGAGGCCCATTTCCAGTTATTCCATTATCCCTAAATTATCCCTTGGTATTAGTTCAGAAGTAATATAGAGATCGTTTCTAGCACTCTTTGTCCTCTTATGTTGGAGGGCAAACAGTGCTCTCCATTTCGGTGGGAAGGACTGGGGTCATTCAAAGGTCAGATCTAATAAAAAACAATACAATATTTTGAATTATTTTATTGTTGTACTTATTAAAATTCAGATCTAGCTCAGTATGTTTGTGCACTGAAGGCCAACTAAGGTATGAGAACCCTGCTATCAATAATCTCCATGTGGCTAATAAATATCAAACTTAGAGTTACCTATTAAGCCAGCATCCACGGCCCGGTCATAATAATAGGAAAAAGCATAAAACTCCGAGTCCTTTACTTCAACTGCCTTGTCAATCTTCTTGCTGAGATGCTTAGCTATTTCATCAAAACATGATTTAAAAGACGACTTTCCTAAAACAAAAACAAAAACAAAAAACACCCTTTAATAATTCAGTGTTACTGATGAAATTCAAGTTTGTGAAAGTGGTCTACTATGGTTGCACATTTAGCAAAGACTTTTGGAATAGGCTGAGTGGGAAATAAGTTTTACAAAGATATGAAAAAGGCAAAGAAAACATTTCTACTATTTAATCCAGGCATGGTATTTGTAGTTTTCACTAAGTAACAATAATTTCTGAATTGTAATTAATGGTAGGGCAGCAGTTTCTGCTTATTTCCGGTTCCTTTCACTCAAATCCCATGACACTTGGAGAATTCTCTGATCGTTTTGCCAAGAAGTTTTCCTTGCTGTCCTCCTTTTAAGAAGCCTTCCTGCTCTTTCCCAAAAGCTCTGAACATTTATTCTAACATCGCCCAATGCTCTCACTAATGTGAAATGTACTATAGGAATTAGATTGTAATCATTTTGCATGGGACTGGCCTTGTGGCCAAACCAGAAGCTTGAGTTACTGCAGAATACAACCACCAGAGTTATACCTAAGGCAGTCAGGTGGAATCAAATGCACAATTCAATGTACTAGTGCTCTCTATAAGTCTTATAGTCTGGAAACCAAATATCTGCAAGTGATTTTCCCCTTCAGATCATCAGGAGAGGTTCTTCTTCAGGCACAATACTGATAAACAAGGGGAAAACCCTTCTCCTCAATGTGACATCCTTTCAAATAAAGAGGATTGTGAGTTTTCCTGTGGCACAAACCGATGGGCCCTGGGAAATTCAAGTCTAGACACCCATGAAATCATGCTGTTTCCCATGAATTTTCTTCACACCTTTCCCACATAATCTCTCTGAATGACACAATATATTTTCAGTTCTGATTTGTAAAAGATTCCCCCAGGTAGTAAGAAGCCACACCTTGAAACTGATAGGCCATTAAAGGCTAATAAAGGTGGCCAATGGAAACATTCACACCTACCTACAACAGACTTCTTTCTCCCACCCTGGACATTCCACAGATATATAAACCTCATTTTCCTAGTTTCCAACAGACCTCACAACCTCTGAGAATGCCTACCATAGATGCAGGCAAAACGTCAGGAGAGAATGCTTCTAGAACATGGCCATACAGCCCAAAAAACTTTCAAAAACCTAGTGATTCCAGCCGTGAAAGCCTTTGGAAATACATTGTAAATGAAAACTTTTGTTGATCTCCATTCCCAGACTTTTGTTGATCTCCGTTCCCATGGGAATTCTCCTTATCACTCAGCTCTTAACTCGATTCTTTATCTGAGGTTGCTACTTCTGACTCCTCTGAATGCCCCTGATGCCCTGAGCTTTCCGAGCCAGTTTTCTGTACTGCTTTCCACTAACCTTGCTCCCAGTAGCAGAAGCATTCAAAGAAGAACATCAGATGTACATCTTCATACATGAATAAACTGATTATTTCCAAGTGAGATAAGCAAAGCACTTCCTAGAATGATATGGGGGACCTCACGTCCACTGAGAACGTTAGATTAAATATTTCACTGTGCAATTTCTCAGATATTTTCAAGAACATCGACACCACTATAATGTCTAGAATCCAGCTTTTAAAAAATCTCAGAAAAACAGAAATCCACAAAACGTCCTCAAAATTATGTTCTGGAACTGTGGAAGATTATATAGCCCAGCCTACACTATAGGGAAATGTATTTGGTTACTATATCAAAGAATCATCACCAACACTTAATCTCACTACTTTGATAAAAACAATGTAGTAATTGAGGAAATGATCAGGTTACTACCTGCCTTCTGCCCTTTGAGTTTATATGTTATCTTAGCATGTTCCCATTCACCCTGGAAGTCTGGCGGTAAGCAGGGACTTGTTAGTTTTTCACCTTCAGGTACTGTAAGAAGTGAGAAAGTAGATTGAAATAGAGAAGATGTTGCATAGAGATCCGATTCTTCATAAGTCAAACACTCCTTCCCTTTCATTCCGGTTCAATCAGCCATACAAATCTCAACATGTTTAAGACTGCCTCGTTAATTGAACATCCATCAGCCATTATTTATGAAGATATCGGCGTCTTCATATCTTCAGACTTTATAATCTAAATAGCTACAATCTTAAGTCCCCTTCTACACAGTTGTATAAAATCCAGATTACCTGATTTGAACTGGATTATATGGCATTGTAGACTCAGATAATCCAGTTCAAATCAGATAACGTGGATTATCTGCCTTGATATTCTGGATTATATGGCAGTGTAGGCATCACCTTTTTAGCAGACATAGAGTTAGAATATAAAGGGAAGCTAGTGTATAACAGCACTCCATGCAGTCATGCTGGCCACATGACCTTGGAGGTGTCTGTGGACAATGCCGGCTCTCTGGCTTAGAAATGGAGATGAGCACCAACCCACAGAGTCGGGCACGACTGGACTTAATGTCAGGGGAAAACCTTTACCTTTAGTGTATAATTGGAAAGATGAATTACTGTCTAAGTCAGGTATGGGCAAACTTTGGCCCTCCAGGTATTTTGGACTTCAACTCCCACAATTCCTAACAGCCTACCGGGTCCCGGGACCCAGCACATGTTGAAGGTTGACTATATTTATAAATATAGCATAACCCACTCTGAGTTAGTGTATGGGTGACAGTTAGAAACAGCAAAATAAATAAAAATAATCTAACAATCTCTATGCATGAGAAAAGTCATATGTATTTGATACTTACAGGCTTGTCCTTGAACTCCTCCTAAAATCGCCAGCCTTGCAGACATTAACCCAAGTCCAAGGTAACTAGAGAAAGAGACGAAAGTGAGATCAAAACAACACTGAAGTTTTGTTAATTCAAATTATTTGGTAACCTGTTAAAATGCAGTAGCTGGAATCAAGTTGGTGTGCATTTCTGATGAGTTATAATTGAATGCTGCAATGACTTAGCTGTAATTATTATATTTTAAAATGTACAAACCTGTAAGAATACAGTTGGTACGTGGTACTAAATATCTGAAAAGAAGTGATGTGACTAGAAGAGGTGCTCTTTGGAGTGGTCTGCAAAGGAAAAGAAAACATTTTGAATATTCCACACAGTAAAACAAACAAACAAACAAACAAACCCCCCCCCCCAAATGTTAAAGGGCTGTCAGCAGTTACACCAAATAAACATTTGAGGTGAGAAAGGTGGAATATAAATGTTTTAAATAAATAAATGATTTTTTTTCTTTTGTGTCAGAAGTGAAGTAAGAATATATTGCAAGTTGCTTCTGGTGTGAGAGAATTGGCCGTCTGCAAGGACGCTGCCCAGGGGATGCCTAGATGTGTTACCATCCTGTGGGAGGCTTCTCTGAAACTGCCCTGAGTCGCCTGAGAACTGAGAAGGGTGGTATACAAATATAGTAAAATAAATAAATAAATAAATAAATTCTCTCATGCCCCTGCATGGGAAGCTGGAGCTGACAGGTGGGAGCTCATCCCATCTTGCAGATTTAAACTTCCAACCTTCATGAACAATTAGAAAAAAAACCTTTATGAACAATTAGAGGGAAAAAGGAGCAAAAATATTCAAACATTCATTGTATTTGTTTTCCATTTTTTGTTTCCGCTCCCTTTTATGTGTAAGGTTCTCCACTTTGTCCCTACTATCATGTTTGTTGATAGGATTTGTGAGTTTGGAAATACCAAATATACCAAATATATTTCCCCTTGACATTAGTCATGTCCAGCTCTGGGGGTTGGTGCTCATCTCCATTTCTAAGCTGAAGAGCCGGCACTGTCCATAGATACCTCCAAGGTCATGTGGCCGGCATGACTGCATGGAGTTCTGTCACCTTCCCGCTGGAGCATTACCTATTGATGTACTCATATTTGCATTTCCCCTTGACATTAGTCGTGTCCAACTCTTGAGGTTGGTGCTCATCTCCATTTCTAAGCTGAAGAGCCGGCGTTGTCTGTAGACACCTCCAAGGTCATGTGGCCGACATGACTGCATGGAGTGCCGTTACCTTCCTAATGGAGCATTACCTATTGATCTACTCACATTTGCATGTTTTCGAACTGCTAGGTTGGCAGAAGCTGGGGCTCCCTGGATTCAAACCTGCGACCTTTTGATCAGCAAGTTCAGCAGCTCAGCAGTTTAAGCCACTGCTCCACCGGGGGCTCCATTTTTTTGCCATTAGTATATTGTAAACCGCCTTGAGTCCCCCCAGGAGTGAGAAAGTCAGTATATAAATACAGTAAATAAATAAGTAAATAAATACTGTTGTTACCTTGGTGCTTGGATGAAATGTGATCTGAGTTGATCCACCTCCTAAGTCCAGCATTCCTACACATTTCTTTTCTGGAGCATTCAAACTATCTGAAATACAGTTTCAAAACAACAAAATTACTAGAAAGTTTAGTCATGAAATCTACACGTTTTGTCAGAGTAGAATCATAGAATTATAGAGTTGGAAGAGACCTCATGGGCCATCCAGTCCAACCTCCTGCCAAGGAGCAGGAAAATCACATTCAAAGCACCCCCGACAGAGTAAACATCCTGAAGTCAAAAACATGAGCAATTTCCCAAGTTAAGAGTGGCAGAATCATAATTCACTGTTACTCCTCAGCATGTGAACAAAGAAAATTGAAAAAGAGAGAAGCAGATACAGTTTTTGTGAAGGAATGATCAACTTTCAGCTTTCCAGGTGCTGCTGCATTGCAACTCCCACTTGGAAACTAGGCAAGTGGGGTTGATATATCTGTGGAATGTCCAGTGTGGGAGAAAAAAACTCTTGTCTGCTTGACGCAGATGAGAATGTTGCAATTGGCCACCTTGATTAGCATTGAATGGCCTTGTAGCTTCAAAGACTGGCTGGTTGATGCCTAGGGGAATCCTTTGTTTGGAGGTGTTAAATGGCCTTGATTGTTTCATGTCTAGTTGTTTCATGTCTGGCTTTGAATGTTTCATGTCTTCTAACAAAGGATTTGCCCAGGCAGCAACCAGCCAGTCTTTGAAGCTGCAAGGCCATTCAATGCTAATCAAGAGAAGACATGACGCAACAGAAATAAAAATAATGCTTGTTAAGATAGAAGGCAACACGACAGTAGCCAAAGCAGCAAGGATATGAAATATAGCAATAGTTATTCCATTTTTTTTTAAAAAAAGAATAAAGTTAATATTAGGTACAAGAGGGAAGAATATTTTCATCATATTTTAAAACTGTTTATATGTCACTATTGATTATTGTTTTTTGTTTATGTGATTTATATGATTTGTATTTTATTGACTGTTTTATTAATGTTATGTTATTGATGTTTAGTTTGATGTACTTTGGGCTTGGCCTCATGTAAGCCACACCGAGTTCCTTGGGGAGATGGTAGCGGGGTACAAATAAAGTATTATTATTATTATTATTATTATTATTATTATTAGGTGGCCAATTGCAACATTCACACTTGCCTCAAGCTATCAAGAGTTCTTTTCCCACCCTGGACTTTATTCCACAGATATATAAACCTCACTCGCCTAGTTTCCAACAGACCTCAGAACCTCTGAGGGTGCCTGCCATAGATGTGGGCAAAATGTCAGGAGAGAATGCTTCTGGAACATCGCCATACAGCCCGGAAAACTCACAGCAACCTACCAACTTATAGCTCGAAGAAGTAACTTCTTGGTTAATATAGTATATTTCAATTCAATACAGATATTTAAGAAAAATAGTAACATATTACAGTTTACTTAAACACCTACCTGTTAAAAAGTTGACAGTAACCCATGCAGAAATACCTGTTGTAAAAAAGTAAAGAGATTCAAGCAAAATTCTTAAAAAATATTTTGCAACTTATATGCCGTATATACTCGAGTATAAGCCAACCCGAATATAAGCCAAGGCATCTAACTTTATCACAAAAACTGGGAAAACATACTGACTTGAGTATAAGTTGAGGGTGGGAAATGCAGCAGCTACTGGTCAATTTCAAAATAAAAATAGATACCAATAAAATTACATGAATTGAGGCATCAGTAGGTTAAATGTTTTTAAATATTTACGTAAAGCTGTAATTTAAGATCAGACTGCCCAACTCTGATTAAACCATTATTCTAACCTTCTTCAATGTAAATGTGCTTATGTATTGTTCCAATAATAACAGAACAAAATAAATGAAATTAAATAATAATAATAATAATAATAATAATAATAATAGAGTAAAATAATGGAAATGTAATAATCACAGTAATAATAGAGTAAAATAATAAATGGAATAATAATAGAGGACACTAATAAATGTAATCAAAATATTAATAATAGAGCAAAATAATGTAATAATGAGTAAAATAATTAATGGAATAACAATAATAAATAGAGTAAAATAATTAATGTAATAATAATAGAGTAAAATAATTAATGTAATAACAATAGAGTAAAATATTGTAAATGCAATAATATCAATAATAGAATAAAATAATAAATATAATAATAACAATAATAGAGTAAAATGATAACTGTAATAATAATAACAATAAAATAATAAATGTAATAATACATATAATAGAGTAATATAATAAATGTAATAATAATAGAGGACAATAATAAATGGAATAAAATATTAATAATAGAGCAAAATAATGTAAACGTAATAACAACAATAATAGAGTAAAATAATAAATGTAATAACAATAATAAATAGAGTAAAGTAATTAATGTAATAACAATAGAGTAAAATAATAAATATAATAATAATAAAGTAAAATGATAAATGTAATAATAATAACAATAAAATAATAAATGTAATAATAAAAATAATAGAGTAAAATAATAAATGTAATAAAAATAATAACATAGTAAAATAATGTAAATATAATAATAATGAATAGACTAAGATAATAAATGTAATAATAATAATAATAACAATAACAGAGTAAAATAATCAATACCTTTGACTCGAGTATAAGCCTATTCAGACTAAAAATGGTTGAAAAACTTGGTTCATACTCAAGTATATATGGTAAGCCTTTATACTATTTAACCATAATTTGGGTTTGCAACAGATTCATTTTGTATAACTAATTATGTTTTTATTGCACTTTTTAAAAATTCAGTTGGCAGTAATTTTGGATTGCAACTCCAGGGAAAAGATACAAATCAAATCAAATTGAAGTCAGTCACCAAAGATGCAGTCTAAATTGGCCATGCTTATAACAGGAAGACTTTGGAGCTAAAAGAAATGTTTATTTAAAATATCATCATCACAGGAGGCTCTTTGAAGGCAGGATTCTTTATACAGCTAGGAATGGAGGTGAAGAATCCTGCTTTTATGTACGCAAGGCCATGTTTGTCTAAAGCAAGGGTGTAACGGCTTTTTCTGGCACATCACTGATATGTGCACAAGGAAAGGACTGTTTGTTACACTATGCTAAGTTACTCCTTAAATAAAACACAGAATAAACAGAAGATACCTTATCTACCGGATGTTGCCTCTCTTTACTTCCCTGACGTACTGAGGCAATTGACTGAAAGCTGTACATGAAACAGGCATGAACACCAGATTATCTGCCTTTGAGGAAGTAATAATCACTTTATTTCCTTATCACTTGCAGCTTTTTCATTTTCTCTCCGTCACCTCACCCTTGTCTGTTCAGCACTAGATCAGGGGTAGGTCAGAGGATCTTGAAAGGACACACACACACACCAGCCTGCATCCCATCTCTGAAAAATTGGGTTTATTTTAACAAAATCATATTTGCTCGCTAAAGCTCCCAGGGAGGGAAAGTCAACAAGGTATAGCACAGGTATGGGCAAACCCAGCCCTGGGAGCTGGATGCGGCCCCTTGGGCTCTTTTCTCAGTCCTTCTCTCTCTCACCATCTTATCCTTTCCTTCCTCCTCTCTTTCCTTCCTTCTTCCTTCCCTTCCATCCCTTCATCCTTCCTTCCTTCTCTCTTTCCTCCCTCCTTTCCTCCCTTCCCTCTTTCTCTTTCCATCCTTCCCTTCCATCCTTCCTTCCCTCTTTCCTCCCTCCTTCCCTCTTCTTTTTTCCTTCCCTCTTTCCTCCTTCTCTCTTTCTTCCCTCCCTCCCCTCTTTCTCCTTCCCTCCATTCCCTTCTCCCCTTTCATCCTTCCTTCTTTCCTCCCTCCCTTTCGTCCTCCCTCCCTTTTTCCTCCCTCTTCCCTCTCCTTTTTTCCTTCCTTCCTTCCTTCCTTCCTTCCTTCCTTCCCTTCCTCCTTTCTCTTTCCTTTCTCCTCTCCTCTTTCTCCCTCCCTCCATTCTCTTCCTCCCTTTTCTCCTTCCTCTTTCCTCCTCCTTCCTTCCCTTTTCCTTCCTTCCTTCCTTCTCTTCCTCCCTCCCTCCCCTCTTTTCCCTCCCTCCTTCCATTTCCTTCACCCTTTCGTCCTTCCTTCCCTCTTCCTCCCTCCTTCCCTCTCTTTCCTCCTTCCTTCCCTCTTTTTTCTTCCCTCTTTCTTCCTTTCCTCTTTTCCCTTCTTTCATTCCTTCCACCCTTTTCTCCTTCTTCCCTCCCCTTTCCTCCTTTTCTCTTCCTCTCCTCCCTCCCCTCTTTCTCCTCCCTCCATTCCCTTCCACCCTTTCGGCCTTCCTTCTCTCTTTCCTCCCTCCCTCCCTCCCTCCATTCGCTTCCACCCATCTCTTCCTCCTTTCCTTCCCTCCTTCTCTTTTTTCCTTCCTCCTTCCCTCTTGGGGGATGTTTAACTGGGAGAAGAGAAGATAGAGAGGGAACACGAGAACCAGGGCACAAAGGAACAATGGGTTCAAATGGCAGGACTGAAAAGGTTAGGAAGAACTTCCTGAAAGTAAGAGCTGTTGGAAAGTGGCACAGGCTGCCTCGGAGCGTGGTGGAGTCTCCTTCTCTGGAGGCTTTTCCATGTGGGCTGTCTATTGGGAGTGCTTTGATTGTGTCTGGATGGCCCTTGAGGGTCTCTTACAGCTCTAGGATTCTAGGATTCTATATCAGGAGTAGGCAATACAGGGTCTAATGGATACACTCTCCTGTCCACCATCTCATCCTGACCAAGACCAACCTCTTCGGGATCCAAACGTTTCCCATCTTTCCTTCACTTTCTGCCTCCGAAAGAAAAGAGGAAGGGGAGGAAAGGGCAAGGAGGAGACTTAGGAAGAGCCCATCACGTGGCCCCTAAGTTAGAAAGTTTGCCCATGCCTGGTATAGCACTTTGCGCATTGGACGATGGCTGTGGAGAATAGGCTTTAAATTCCTGCTCAGTCATGGAAACCCACTGGGTCACCTTGGCTGAATCTCACTCTCTCAGCTTCAGAGGAAGGTGAAAACAAAACCTTCTCTGAAGAAATCTTGCCACAATAGGGTTGCCATAAGCTGGAAAACACTTGCAGGCACACAACTGTCCCTGCCCTAAAACCAAAGTCACTGTGTGAATTCACTGGAAAACAAAGTCACCGTACCTTCATCCGTTCCATCCATTATGGAGACACAATCATCCCCTACTAAGAATGGAGATTTTTGAAAGACAGACTTCACCTAAATGTAAAATAAGACTTATTTAGAAATGTATGTAAAGCAGAAACATCCTCCAGAAAATATGATGTCCTTTGGAAGCTAGGTTCTTGACCTCTAGCAAATATTCTCACACTATAATGCTCTTCCTTATTTTGAAATGTAGATACAGAGTAAACAGTTTCTTGCACACACACAGGAAATAGATTTATCTTTCAGAAGAGTATCTATGACCTTCAAGGGGGGAAAAATAACCAAGCCTATCTTAGCTACATTGTTGATATTTTTTTCTATATGTAAACTTGAAGACAGAAAGCTTTAACACGATACCATGTTGCTTCACATGATTCTTCAGGGATGCATCTACACTGCAGAATTAATGCTGTTTGACACCACTTTAACTGTCATGGCTCAATGCTACGGAATACAAGGAACTGTAATTTTACAAGGTCTGCTGATTTCTCTGCCAAAGTCTGTTGGCGTGGCTCACCAAACTACAACTCCCAGGATCCCATAGCATTGGGCCATGGCAGATAAAGTAGTGTTGAACTACATTAATTCTACAGTGTAGATCAGGCATGGACCAACCTCGGCCCTCCACGTGTTTTGGATTTCAACTCTGTTGTATGTCAGCATGTTCATCCTGTGATTGTATCTGATGTTCATGATGGGAATGGGAGTGATGTTCCTGATGGTGGGCCTGAGTCTATTGGCATTGGGGATGAATTAAGCTCAGACGAGAGGCCTGAGCTATCTCAGGAAGATTCACAAGGCCACATTCTTGGGAGAGGCCCTTCACAGCTTTTCTCAGAAAAACTGTCTGAAGATGATTTGTTAGGTGCAGAAGTTAATGAGAGAGAAGATAACGAGAGCTTAGGTAGAAAGCAAAGTTGTAAACAGAGACAGAGCATACATAGGCTAAGACGATCAGTTCATTTACAGGAAAAGAGAGATAACAAACCTTCATCTGGTGGGAAGGTCAAGAGAAATGCTTTTCTTCCAGTTTTAAGATCTGGAAAAGCCTTATATTGATTCATGGGAAAAAGTTGCTTCAGTCAGGCCAATGTTGGAATTTCATCATGATCTTGCTTTCAAGTGCTCTTAGTTTCATGTTCCAAGTTTTTGCCAAGCTCCAAATTTGTGTTTGGGATTTTTCCTGCTGTCTTGTTTAATGGATTCATGTGCCAGTTTTCATGGATTTTATGTACATATGGATTTGTTTTCCCTTGAAGCTTATGGACTATTTTATGTATTGGAACTTTACTGTTTTTGATATTTTTATTGCATTGCTTAGATATATTCTTCCATAAACTGCTTGCTGATTTTATTGAGCTGGTGTGGTATTTTAAGGTCAGAGGTGTTCCTGCTTTGGTGTATGACGAACTCCCACAATTCCTAACAGCCTCAGGCCCTTTCCTTTTCCCCCACTGAGGGGGAAAAGGAAGGGGCCTGAGACTGTTAGGAATTGTGAGAGTTGAAGTCCAAAACACCTGGAGGACCGAAGTTTGGCCATGCCTGGGATAGATGCACAGCAAGTGCTGCTTTGGATTGGAATCTATAAGATACAAGAAACACTAAGCCACAACCACAGAGTAGCTAGCCATGGTTATGAATGCTGCTTCCCCAATGCCTCTTTGTTGTTGCTGAAAAAATTCCAACTGGAGGCTCCTTCTTTGGAGGTTTTTAAACAGAGGCTAGATGGCCATCTGTCAGAGGTGCTGTGAATGCAATATTCCTGCTTCTTGGCAGAGGGTTGGACTGGATGGCCCATGAGGTCTCTTCCAACTTCATGATTTTATGATTCTATGTTACATTACACTACCAAACTTCAAAATTTTGGGTAGCATATGAATATTAATGGGGTCCTCTAAGATCAGAATACATTTCTAATGCAGTTTCTATCTGTATGTTTCTGTCCTTTATTTCTCATTAGGATGGTTTCAACAACCTATATAGTGAGGAAGATAACAGTAAAAAAAAAGAAGAAGAAGGAATTACCTTGTCCAACAGTTCCTGAGCCTTTTCTCCGGGCAACAGCCTTAACCCAGCGGTTGCTTTAAGGACCACAGGGGTTGACTTCCACAAATTCTCAGGGACATCATCTTTAGCAACTGCCAGTAGCTCATTGATTCCTTCAGCACTCTGGAGATGCAAAAGAGGACAGTATTTTAGCAGTGTAAGAGAAGAACCTACTTGGAAAAGATGGGCATACACTAATATTCAAATACTGATATTACCTGCGCTTGAACCCCATTTCAAATAATCTAGGCGGAAGGGACATATGAGAGAATATGGCATCATCTCCAAGTAGGAAGTTCAGGAACTACAGGTTTGAAGAACAACTGGCCTCCCAGATGTTTTAGATCAGGTATGGGCAAATTTGGGCCCTCCAGGTGTTTTGGGCTTCAACTCCCACCATTCCTAACAGCCTCAGGTCCCTTCCTTTTCCAAGTGCCCAGCTTCTAGTCAAAGGAAATTTAGCATAATGCCAGGTTTTTAACTTTGTTAAACTATGTATTATAATTGTATTCTCAGTTTTTGGTTCTGACATGACAAATAAATAAATAAATCTAGAAACCTTACAAATTGTAAGATTTTAGCAGCTTACAGAAATAACTACCATTCAACATAGCATAATGTACACTAATTCTATTGTCTACTCTAAAGCGGTCTGTAATCTGACAGAATATTTGTACACTATTTATTCAGAAACAATTATCACAGTGCCCAAGAGGTTAAGTGTACACAGGAGTATGGCTTAAAGTGCTTAACTGATAGAGCACAGAACGTGAGAATCGCATATGCATGTCCTCCTGGACTGTACATCTCAAATTACCTTATCAACATCGTCAGCATAAGCAGAAAGTCCTGGCTTTATTGCTTTGAATGTGGTATGGATTAGTCGAGGAATTTCTGTTAAAAAGGAAACAAAAATATTAATAAAAGTAATCAACACACAATCAAATGGTTTCCAAATTCAGACAACACCAAAATGTGTTGGTCCATACCTGGCGTAGAAAGTGCATTCAATTTAAAATGACCTTTTTCTGCACTCTATGTTCTTAAGTTCCTCTCCCTAATGTTCTTAATGTATGCACCCAAAACTTTAGATAAAATTCAACTACTTAACTTGTTATATTTTTTAAACTTGATTTTTTAAAAATCAATGTACTGCTTAAATTAAAGTCTTGTTGAATTGACACTTCTAATCATCTAAAGCTGAATCAGTAGAATGCTATTAAACCCAACAGTTTAAAAGCTTCTTTTTTTACACATATTAAGATTAATTTAGTGTACTTCCTTAGCTGGAGTTTTTATGTAGATATCTATCTGTGTGTGTGGGTTTTCTGTAAACGGTGTGACCCAACTCCAACCATCACCCAAGTCAAAAAAGAAGCACAATTAAAGCCTTGGCAGACCGTGCAAAAAGAATCTGCGAACCCCACCTCCTCCAAGATGAACTGAACCACCTCAACTGGGCTCTCCAGGCCAATGGATACTCCACCTCAGACATCAGAAGAGCTGCAAGACCGAGAACAAGCCACGAGAGTAAAGATGAAGATCCACCCAGAGGAAAAGTGTTTCTTGCCATACATCAAGGGAACCACTGACCACATAGGGAAACTGATGAGGAAACACAACATAGAAACCACTTACAGACCCACCAAGAAAATCCAACAAATGCTACGTTCAGCAAAGGACAAGAGGGATCCTCTCACCTCTGCAGGAGTCTACCGTGTACCATGCAGCTGTGGACAAGTCTACATAGGGACCACCAAACGCAGCACCCAGACACGCATCAAGGAACATGAAAGGCACTGCAGACTACTTCAACCAGAGAAGTCAGCCATAGCAGAGCACCTGATGAACCAACCTGGACACAGCATATTATTTGAGAACACAGAAATGCTGGACCACTCTCACAACCACCATGTTAGACTACACAGAGAAGCCATAATCCACAAGCATGTGGACAATTTCAACAGAAAGGAGGAAACCATGAAAATGAACAAAATCTGGCTACCAGTATTAAAAAACTCAAAAATTACAACAGCAAAACAACAGAGGGGAAACAAACAGGCACATAAAATCACTCTCAACAAAAATTCCCCCCAGGCCCTTCCAAGCCATTGAATGCTAATCAAGGTGATCAGCTGAAACATTCACAGCTAGCACCAGCAGACAAAAGTCCTTTGTCTCACCCTGGTCATTCCACAGATATATAAACCCATTTTCCTACTTCCAACAGACCTCACCACCTCTGAGGATGCTTGCCATAGATGCAGGCGAAACGTCAGGAGAAAAATTGCCTCCAGAACATGGCCATATAGCCCGGAAAAACCTACAACAACTCTGTGAATTGTTCTCCTGTTTTATGTCTAGATCAAATTCTCCAGTATTTGGTGATAACATGTTCCTTCCATTTCATTTCACACTGAACATTGAAGAATATTATCTGTCTCAATGCTATCATAATGTACTGAGTTCAAGCAGTTGCAAAATATCAAGAGATAGCAATTGCCATTACTGTACACAAACTGCAAGTCGATGTGGATGTGGCACTTAATGAGACAAGCTGCATTATCACAGGATGTCTGTGCCAATACCGCTGGAGAAATTATACTATTTAGCCGGTATTGCACCACCTGACATTTGTCAAGAAGCCAATAATCAAAGGATCAAGGCATTGACATCTCTGTCCCATCCTCTGTTCAGATATCAGCCAGCATGCCAACAACTTAAATCAAGAAATAGCTTCCTAAGATCTACAGAGATATTTGCAGGAACACCTCAGCAAGCGAGAGTCCATAAGTGGCAGGTGAAAACCCGGAAGCTCAATCAATGGCTGATACCAGATGAGAAACTCCCCCCTGGGCTCATAGAAAACTGGGCAACTTGGAAGGTGCTGCACAGACTGCACTCTGGCACCCTGAGATGCAAAGCCAATCTTAAGAAATGGGGCTGTAAAGTGGAGTCCACAACATGCGAGTGTGGAGAAGAGCAAACCACTGACCACTTACTACAATGCGGTCTGAGCCCTGCCACATGCACAATGGAGGACCTTCTCACAGTGACACCAAAGGCACTCCAAGGGGCCAGCTTCTGGTCAAAGGACATTTAGCATCATGCCAGGCTTTTAATTTTGTTTGTGGTTTTTTAATGTATTATAATTGTATTCTCAATTCGCTTCTGACACAATAAATAAAATTTCTAGATCAACTTCTCCAATGTTTGGGGATATCCTGTCCCTTCTACTGAATTTCATACTGAACATGGAAGAACACTATCTTTCTCAATGTTTTCGTAATACGAACAGTTACAAGAGATAGCTATTGGCATTACTGTACAAAGTGATGTCCGTACCTACATTTTAATCTGATTAGTAAATGTTAGCAAAGGGTGTTCATTTTTAAAAGGTCATCCTACCTTTTGGTTTCTGTGAGAACTTGAATACATGTACGCGTGTCCCAGTGCTTCCAGCATCGAACATGATGCCATAGAAAATCGTCTCGCCGTCAGGTTGATTGTTCAAGTCATCAGGAAGATCTCTTGCTTTAACATTCAAATTCCATTTTATATACACAGCACACAGAGCAGCACACATGAAAACTGCAAAAACCCAGAACAGTTTTGGTATCTTCATTTCTTCTGTGAATCCTTCTCCTTTACTTTAAACCGGAGTTCATCATGGCACCTCTGTATTGAAAACAAAAAAATAGCAGATACATGAGTAAACATGCAAAAAGAATAACATTAAGCTGTTGAAATAAGACGTGGGAACTTATCTTGAGCTTTCTCTCAATATTTCCCTAAAATTATTAGGAAGTTGCTGATAGTTTCTGTTCACTTCCAAATGGTTATTAGTACAGACGCAATGAAAAGCCGATCCGTCACCACGTATTGTGAATCACTAACAACCTCTTAGTCTTCCTCACATCGTTGCCCTTAAAGACCTATTTATCAAAACAGCATTATCTATAAAGGAAATGTTACAGATAACCGCTGTAACAAAGAAGGCCTTCATATTTTGAAGTTTTGATGAACTTAAACCAACAAATGGGTCTACCCAGATGTTAAGAAACAGGCAGGGCTTTTTCTGAGTTCAGCACATTGTTTTCTTACCTCCTTTCTGTTCTGCCTGTCTCTGTTCTGTCTATCCAAAACGGCATTGAATATTTGCCATGTATGTGCCCTGAGTCCCCTTGGGGAGATAGGCTGGAATATATATAAAGTGTTGTAGTTATTGTTATTATTATTACTAGAATCATAGAGTTGGAAGAGACCTCATGGGCTATCCAATCCAACCCCCTGCCAAGAAGCAGGAATATTTCATTCAAAGAACCCCTGACAGATGGCCATCCAGCCTCTGTTTAAAAGCTTCCAAAGAAGGAGCCTCCACCACACTCTGGGGCAGAGAGTTCCACTGCTGAACGGCTCTCACAGTCAGGAAGTTCTTCCTCATGTTCAGATGGACTCTCCTCTCTTGTAGTTTGAAGCCATTGTTCCGCGTCCTAGTCTCCAGGGCAGCAGAAAACAAGCTTGCTCCCTCTTCCTTATGACTTTTGCTCACATATTTATACATGGCTATCATGTCTCCTCTCAGCTTTCTCTTCTTCAGGCTAAACATGCCCAGCTCCTTAAGCCACTCCTCATAGGGCTTGTTCTCCAGACCCTTGATCATTTTAGTCGCCCTCCTCTGGACACATTCCAGCTTGTCAATATCTCTCTTTAATTGTGGTGCCCAGAATTGTGGTGCCCAGATTTCTGACATCATAAGGAGTGGTTAAGGGTAAAAAAAAGAGAAAAGAATGATAAAGTACCTGCCCAAATACTTAATACATGCTGTTAAGCTATTAAAGCTAGTTTATTAAGAGACGTTGCAATGGTATACAGCCGATGAATCTTCTCAAAGTCTTTTTTGTTGACCAAATACAAGACCACTCTGGAGTTCTTCTTGTTGCTTTAATTCTTGTGGCACCGTCAGAGGATTATGCCAATGCAAAGCTCCACTAGCCCCAAAATCTATTTATTCCCTTTCCTTGGGGAAGGGCCTTTCAACAATTAATCAGCAACTCTTGGAAAATAGATTTCCTGATCTGTTTTATGGGAACATATTGAGCATATTATCAGGGCCGTGTTCTCCAGGATTTTAAGAACAATGGTCTCTGTTAGTTATTCTCTGTCGTGTCAAAATCTTACTGTTCCTATGCAGTGGGCACAGAAGACACAGGTCCATACCATGCCAATTTTGGTCCAGATCTCCATCTCTGAGAATAAAGGCCTCTTCATGAAATGTCAGAAGTTTATGGATGTTTTCTGGCCCACAAATAATTAAAAATCATACACAGCACTGCAATAAAATAAAATTATATGCATAATTTGATATTTATCTGAGTTTTTTAAGCTTAACCTGAGCTCAGCCCTATAGGATGCCAAACAAAACAAGGTGCGTAAACCGTTTGCTCAGGTTGGCATCCACATCAGTGCAAACAGGAAAAAAAATATTAAAATGCAACATGGTGAACAGTCAGTTAAGGTGACTACAAGACTGAGTGGCTTTGAGAACTTCAAAAATGTCAACACAAGAGCCAGATGGAACCAGTCCAGGGAGATATAGATCCAAATTCCTTTAATACGAACACCACATCAGTGTTAGCATTTCCCACATCTTTCTTATAAATGGAAAAAGTATACTGAGTAGAATGTGCTCTCAATTTAAAATGACCTTCTCCTCCACTCTGTGTTTTTAAGTTCTGATCTCTGATGTTCTTATTGAGTACACGCAATGCTTTTTTTTAAAAAGCAAAACATTCATAGCATTTTTTTGCAAAAATAGTTTTTTGCAATAGATAAAAATCAGTTACTTGACTTTGGTTTTTTTAAGCTGGTTTTTTAAAAAAGTTAATGGACTTTTGAGCTTAGTCTACTATTACAAGAGGCATACAGTGGCCTCATCTCAGGCAATGAAGATGGCTTTAAGCCAGCGTTTCTCAACCTGGAGGTCAGGACTCCAGAGGGGGGAGGATCAAGGGGGGTCGCCAAAGACCATCAGAAAACATATTTGGTAGAGAAGGCTGAAGATCTCTCCTCCTGTCCTTCTCTTTCTATTTGGAAACAGGCTGTGAATCCTCCCACCAAAAGCCCTTCTACACTGTGATTGGCCAGCCTCTCAGACAAGGGGAGGGCTGTTTCTAAGACTCCAAGTGGGGAGGGGAGAACAGGTGTGCGCATGTGCAGGCAAGGGAGAGCATGCAAGGCTGGAGGGACGCTCACACCAGTGAGTCCCTTCAAAGCATGGGGTTCTGTACCTTGGGAAGTCAGACGTGGCCACGGTGGTCCATGCTCTCGTTACATCTAGGATAGACTACTGCAACACACTCTATGTGGGGTTGCCATTGAAGACTGTTCGGAAGATTCAAATAGTCCAACGAGAGGCAGCTAGGGTAATAACTGGGGTGGCAAACAGGGAGCATACAACTCCCATGTTATGCCAGCTCCACTGACTGCCAGTTTGCTACCGGACACAATTCAAAATGCTGGCTTTGGCCTATAAAGCCCTAAACGGCCCTGGCCCAAATTACCTGTCCGAACTCATCTCCCTCTATGAACCATCACAGAGATTAAGATCCTCTGGGGAGGCCCTGCTTTCCGTCCCGCCATTGTCACAGGCACGATTGGTGGGGACAAGAGACAGGGCCTTCTCTGTGATTGCTCCCCAGCTATGGAAACCCTTCCTGGTGAGATCAGGTCGGCCCCCTCCCTCTTGTCCTTTAGAAGGATGGTAAAAATGTGGCTGTGGGACCAAGCTTTCGGGACAGGGCAATAAAGCGGCAATAGGAAAGATGACCAGGCCACTTAGATTTTACACAGATGACTAGGACAGTTTTAAATGGAGTATTTTAATATTTTGATAAATGTTTTTTTAATGTTTATGTATTGTATGTGAATTTGTGTCCTGGCATTGAATGTTTGCCGTATATATGCTGTGCTCCACCCTGAGTCCCCTTCGGGGTGAGAAGGGTGGAATATAAATGTTTTAAATAAATAAATAAATAAATAAGTCTGGACCAATTCTATCATTGGTGGAGTTCAGAATGCTCTTTGAATGTAGGTGAACTATAAAGCTTAAGTGGCTGAGGGGGAAAAGGAAAGGGCCGGAGGTTGTTAGGAATTGTGGGAGTTGAAGTTCAAAACACTTGGAGAGCCAGTGTTTGCCCATGCCTGTTATAGATGTTATTGACACAACATCAGCATCAAATTGGAGCCCCCAGTGGCACAGTGGGTTAAACCCCTGTGCAAGCAGGACTGAAGACCGACTGGTTGCAGGTTCGAATCCGGGGAGAGTACGGATGAGCTCCCTCTATCAGCTCCAGCTCCTCATGCGGGGACATGAGAGAAGCCTCCCACAAGGATGATAAAACATCAAAACATCTGGGCGTCCCCTGGGCAACATCCTTGCAGATGGCCAATTCTCTCACACCAGAAGCGACTTGCAGTTTCTCAAGTCGCTCCTGACACGACACAACCCCCCCCCCCCATCAAATTGCATAGAAATTTAACTTTACATGGGCTTTCACATGAGAGAGAGTTTACAAACTCTCAGCAACTCAGTGTACAAAGAGATAACTGTATGGGATAATTACACTGACAAGACTACATGCTTTCCCAGTTACATTCAACTTACCAACAAATATGTGATTTCAAATTATTTCCTATTCTTTCTTTCTTTTTCCACGTAGACTTAGAGGTTAGCTATTTTGAAAGCTGTCTGCACCCACACACACGCAAGACAATCCGTGTATATCAAAGCAAAAGGTAAGGTACACAGATATACAGGTGTACCTTCCATAGCTGTGTAGGAAAGAACATTCAGGAGGTTCATTATCATTTCCCTCTTTTTGATGCAAGAGAAACTGTACTTTTCAAAAAGCCTTCCCCTCCTACCCAACACTTAAAAGGTTTATTACATCAATTCTACAATGCAGTTGCACTGTCAGAGACAGCAAGAGACAGAATGAAATACATCCTCTATATTTGGGCATCCTAGGCCCCATCTACACTAGCTATTTAATGCAGTTCGAAGCTAGTTTCAAACTGCAGTGGCCAGGTAACAGAAGAAAGCCCTTAATGCGCATCAGTGCTCTGTGGTTTGTGAAATGGTGTTAAATGGTGAGTACAGATGGTCCCGATTCATAGCCTTAGGTAGAATTCAATAAACAATCCATCTTGCTGCTCTGTCTCCAAGTACCAACCATTTCTATCTATAGAAGCAAGACCTATGTCCTCCTGACTTTGTAAAATTGTTGGAATAGATGGGATTGCTTCTGTGTCTTTTTTTAAAACCTAGTATAACCTGTCCTAGGCCAAGGGTGAGAAATGCTCATACAAGACGCTCATGGTAAAGAATACTGGGATCACAGAGTTATAGGGTTAGAGGCAACAGGCATGGGTACACTTGAGCCCTCCAGGTATTTTGGACTTCAACTTCCACAATTCCTAACAGCCTGTTAGGAATTGTGTGAGTTGAAGTCCAAAACATCAAGAGGCCCCAAGTTGGCCCATTACCTGCATTGAAAAACTAGCGATTTCTAGAGAGAACATTGTAATCAAATTGGGAGTGAGAGCCAATACTCCAGAAGACAGGAGCAGAATTCAAAACGATCTTGACAGATTAGAGAGATGGGCCAAAACTAGTTCAACAGTGACAAATGCAAGATACTCCACTTAGGCAGAAAAAAACGAAATGCAAAGATACAGAATGGGGGGCGTGTGGCTCAAGAGCAGTACGTGTGAAAAAGATCTTGGGGTCCTCGCGGACAACAAGTTAAACATGAGCTAACAATGTGATGCGGCAGCAAAAAAAGCAAATGGGATTTTGGACTGCATCGATAGGAGCATAGTGTCTAGATCCAGGGAAGTCATGCTACCCCTCTATTCCACCTTGGTTAGACCACACCTGGGATATTGTGTCCAATTCTGGGCATCACCATTGAAGAGAAATGTTGACAAGCTGGAATGTGTCCAGAGGAGGGCGGCTAAAATGATCAAAGGTCTGGAGAACAAGCCCTGTGAGGAGCAGCTTAAAGAGCTGGTCATGTTTAGCCTGAAGAAGAGAAGGCTGAGAGGAGACATGATAGCCATGTATAAATATGTGAGCAAAAGTCATAAGGAGGAGGGAGCACGCTTGTTTTCTGCTGCCCTGGAGACTAGGATGCAGAACAATAGCTTCTAACTACAAGAAAGGAGATCCCATCTGAAGATCAGGAAGGACTTCCTGACTGTGAGAGTCATTCAGCAGTGGAACTCTCTGCCCCAGAGTGTGGTGGAGGCTCCTTCTTTGGAAGCTTTTAAACAGAGGCTGGATGGCCATCTGTCAGGGGTGCTTTGAATGAAATATTTCTGCTTCTTGGCAGGGGGCTGGATTGGATGGCCCATGAGCTGGTAGGAGTTGAAGTCCAAAACACCTGGAGGGCCAAAGTTTGCTCATGCCTGATCTACACTACAGAATTAACTCACTTCAATGCCACTTTCACTGAAACGGCTCAATGACTGATCTCCTGGGATTTGTTGTCTGGTGAAGTAGGAATCATCACTCTTTCATGGTCAGACCTTGTGGCAGGGAGTTCCAGAGTGGAAGAGTTTTCTTTTTTTTCCAAGTGCATCCTATATTGCAGAATTAACACAGTTCAATACCACTTTCACTGAAAGAGCTGAATGACTGAGCTCCTGCGATTTGCATCTGGAGAGACAGGTAGGAACCATCTCTCTTGGCCGAGAGAAGGCGTAGCAAAAGGGTTAAGGTTGGGACCAAAGTGGTGCCAACCCGCATTAACCTTACAGTGTAGATGCACCGGCACTCACCTCCCTTGGGGGTATTGCAAGGGGGAGGCCCAGAGACTTCCCGGCCGGCTCCTCATACGGAGAGCCGGGCCCTCCATTGCCTGCCTTCCTTCCTGTCAGCTCCCGGCTCCGGTGTCTGGAGGAAGGCGCTCCTCCATCTCTGCCCTTCAGCCTGGAAGGAGGAGGAGGAGGAGGAAAAGGAAGAGGAGAAAGCCTGGGAAGCAGCTGCGCATGCGCACGCCGGGCACGCGCCATATCTGGGGGCGCGTGCCTGCCCGGGCTTCCAAGACTCAAACGTCACGGGTAAACATAGAGTGGCAAACTTGGGCCCTCCGGGTGTTTTGGACTTCAACTCCCACCATTCCTAACAGCCTACCGGCTCTTAGGAATGGTGGGAGTTGAAGTCCAAAACACCTGGAGGGCCAAAGTTTGCCCATGTTTGGATTCAGCCTGTTATTACTTGTAGCATTCTGACATCTAGTGGATACAATTCAATATAGCAATTCATGTGAAGGAGGGAGAACAGATGTTGCAATTTCACTTTTGCAGTTAGGAGTGAGACTGTTGCAATTTTAAGTTCAAGGAAAAGCCTGCAATAAATTTGAAAAAGTAGGGGAGGGGGTTGTGTTGTGACTGCAGTTGTTTTATTTCTCCAGCTATTGTTGCATTTTACTGATCTTAACCAGGGTTTTTTTTTGTGTTGTTATTGCTTTTGTGTTACTGTCTTTGCACTTTCTGTACTTTGCATGTTTGCACCTTTGAGTGCTTTGTGAGCCTCCCATATATTTATATTGGTGCCATAATAATAAAGGAGTGCATTAATAATAATAATAATAATAATAATAATAATAATAATAATAATAAATATAATATAGCATTGAATGAAACATGCAGAATATTCACAGGATGTCTTAAACCTACACCTGTTGATAAACGAATATAATATTGCATTGAATGAAACATGCAGAATATTCACAGGATGAAACCTACACCTGTTGATAAACACTACAAGCTACCTGGCGTTGCCCCCCTGATGTGCAACAGGAAGTTATAATAAATATAAATAAACTTTATTTATAACCCGTCACTATCTCACCAAAGGGGATTTGGGGCGGCTAACATGAGGCCAAACCCAAAATTAATACAACATAATTGCTGCTAAATGTGAGATAAATAAGGCTCAACACTGTGAAAACTATCCACTGCATGGCTACCAGCCTCCTCCCAGTAGACTCAAATCAAGGAAAAGCTTTATGAGAACTACCACTCCTCTTGGTGTCCCCCCAGCAACAGCAAGGGTATCCCGCTGGGCAGCTAAACGAGGAAATCACAACTGCATTGCCCCCCACAAGGGTCTTCCTCCAGGGGCAAACCAGGAATGTGCAACTTGGAAGTCCCTGAACAGACTCAGAAGTGGAGTGGGCAGATCAAAAGACAACCTGGCAAAATGGCACTACCTAGAAGAATCCCACACCTTGTGTGACTGTGGAGTAGAACAGACAACTCCACATCTGTATGCTTGTCCACTATGCCCTGCCTCATGTACAGAGGAAGAGTTGTTGGAGGCTACAGACAATGCCATTACTGTTGCCCGTTTTTGGTCAAAAGATATTTAGCCACCTGCACTCCTTCTATTTTTATCAGTTTTTATACTAATTTATGCAATGCTTTTGATATGAAATAAAAATAATTAATATTATTATTGTTTATTTATTTCTACACTGGGTGGGACTCAAAGCAGCATACAATGGCCTGTCAAGACTCAAATGTCACAGCTAAACTTTAATTTCATTCCACATGAAATGAAAACAAATATAGAAAACTAATTTCTTTCTTTTATTGTATATATTTGACATTTTTGTGACTATTTGCATTTTTATTATAATAATAATAATTGCTGTTTATTCATTCAGTTGCTTCCGACTCTTCATGACCTCATGGACCAGCCCATGCCAGAGCTCCCTGTTGGCCATCACCACCCCCAGCTCCTTCAGGGTCAAGCCAGTCACTTCAAGGATACCATCCATCCATCCATCTTGCCCTTGGTTGGCCCCTCTTCCTTTTTCCTTCCATTTCCCCCAGCATGATTGTCTTCTCTAAGCTTACCTATCTTCTCATTATGTGGCCAAAGTACTTCATCTTTGTCTCTAATATCCTTCCCTCCAATTATTATTATTATTATTATTATTATTATTATTATTATTATTATTTTATTTACATCCCTCTCCTCTCTCTGAAAGGACTCAGGGCGGCTTACAGCAAAATAAACAAATACATGATAAATCAAATAAATGATGTAACACAGACAACAATCAGATATCAAATAATAAAAAATAGCACAATTGTGTAAACACAAATAAATAAAAGTTTAAAAGACTATTTAGCCCTCTAAAAACAGTGTATGTATGTATGTGTGTGTATATATGAACACGCCATTTTAAAAAACAGCCAATTCCTATGGTCAGGGTATTCAGCATTACTTAGGTGATCCCTCGTAGCTTTGAATTCCGCAGCACTGCTGGTCACAGCTGACCTCCAGTTAGAGCACTCAAGAGCCAGGGCTCTCCAATTCTTGATGCTTATGCAACAGTTTTTAAGGTTGGCTTTAAGCCCATATTTAAATCTCTTTTCCTGTCTGCCAACATCTTTTAAAATACTGTAAATACATAACTAATAAAAATTATTTACAAAAAGAAAAAAAGAAAATATGCAAATGTGAGTGGATCAATAGGTAATAAAGACGTCCCTACAGCCATGCTGGCAAACATGACTAGGAGGTGTCTACGAACAACAGGCTCCTTGTCTTGGAAATGGAACAAGAGCACCTTCCCGTAGCCAGAGATGAGCATTGCCTCCAGAAAGCTGGAGATGAAAGGGGAAGCCTTTACCTTTGCTCTATGTATTTGTACGTCATTTATTTATTTATTTATTTATTTGCTTATATACCGCTGTATCTCAAGCCCGAAGGCGACTCACAGCGGTTCACAAACAGTAAAAACAGTAGAAACAGCAGTGGTTCCATACAACATATAACAATTGACTTAACACATTATCCATAAATTACCAATAAGCAATTACAATGCACAATTATTACGAAAAAAAACCGTACCCAATCTTCTCATCATCCAAGCGTAGTCCAGGTTCGTCGTCCATTGTTCCATTCCTATGTTCCATTACCAAATTGCACTAAATTACTCAAACGCCTGCACAAACATCCAGGTCTTCACCTTTTTGCGGAATACCATTAGAGATGGTGCTAGTCTAATGTCCGTAGGAAGGGCGTTCCACAGCCGAGGAGCCACCACCGAGAAGGCCCTATCTCTCGTCCCCGCCAGCCGAGCTTGAGAAGCAGGCGCGATCGAGAGCAGGGTCTCCCCGGAAGATCTCAAAGTCCTGGTGGGTTCATAGGCAGAGATGCGGTCAGATAGGTAGCTTGGGCCGGAACCGTTTAGGGCTTTAAAGGCCAACGCCAGCACTTTGAATTCAGCCCGGTAGCAGATCGGTAGCCAGTGGAGTTGGCGCAACAGAGGGGTTGTATGCTCCCTGCGCTCCGCTCCTGTTAAAATCATGGCTGCCGAGCGTTGGACTAGTTGGAGCTTCCGAGCTGTCTTCAAAGGCAACCCCACGTAGAGAGCGTTGCAGTAGTCTAAACGGGATGTAACCAGAGCGTGGACTACCGTGGCCAAGTCAGACTTCCCAAGCTACGGGCGCAGCTGGCGCACAAGCTTTAGCTGTGCAAATGCTCCCCGCACCGCCGAGACCTGGGGTTCCAGGCTCAGCGATGAGTCCAGGGTCACACCCCAGCTGCGAACCTGCGTCTTCAGGGGGAGTGCGGCCCCATCCAACACAGGCTGTAACCCTATGCCCTGTTCGGCCTTGCGACTGACCAGGAGTACCTCTGTCTTGTCTGGATTCAATTTCAATTTGTTTGCCCTCATCCAGACCGTCACAGCGGCCAAGCACCGGTTCAGGACCTGGACAGCCTCCTTAGTAGCAGGTGGAAAGGAGTGACAGAGTTGGACATCATTGTTATTCTACTGTATTAAAAGGCATTGCATGTTTGCCTATCTGTGTATGTTGTAATCTGCTCTGAGTCCCCTCGGGGAGATAGAGCAGCATATAAATAAAGTGGTATTATTATTGATACAGTTATGATGAGGGATACAGTACAGGAAATCTCTGGGGAGCTTACCAGTTGCCCAATTCCATCTTGCAAATGGCTGATCGGAACAACTGCCAGCATTACAATTTGGTGGCTGGTGGCAAAAAATAAAATAAAATAAAATAAAAAGAGAGAGAGAGAAAAGAAAAAATGATGACTTATGTTATCATTTTTATTTTGGAGTTACATCTCTTGAAATCAGACTATACTTCTGAATAAGCATGCTGCTACTGTGTGTAAATGTAAGCAGCCTGGCAATTCGTAAATAAACTGTTACTAGGATTAGGGCTGAGCAGCCATTCCCTTATTTAAAAAAGCAAGCTGGATCAAAGCTCCCTAAGCAGCAGAACACAGTGTTATGTTGTTTGTCCAGCAAAACCTTCAGCTCCTTAGTTGGTCTTTGGCTCTTTTAACTTTTAACACGCTTCTTCAATTAAGCTCTAGCTCTCAATTAATCATTAAGACAGAACTGAATAGCCACAGCTGCTGCAATTTGACTTATCCACAAAGCAGGCTGTTGATCAGGGGAGAAACATTGGCTTTAATTTAGAGTGAATTGGGTCTGAGGATTTGGCAAGTTGTTGTGATGAACCGGGATCTAGTTTCCCCCATCTTTGGCAGTGAGAACATCTTGATCTCCTTGATGGGGGCTCTTTTCATGTACTCAAGGCCTCCCCACCTTTGAATAGGGCTGTGGCCATGATAGGGAGCATACAGGCCTCCTTTAGTTCAATGTTTTTATTCTAAAACAGTATATGAGGGGTGTTAATTAAATATTTCACCTGACCCACTTCCTGTGGACTGAGAGCAATGAAACTTGGCACAGTTATGAGTCCTTCTCTCCATAGGTGCTAAGGGCAAACACTTCTCCCATCTTTTTAAGCAACTGTAAACACCTTGCTTGCAGAAGTCGACAGGTTGCTCCAAAAGCCATGTTGTGACTTCAGAAATCAGAGTCTCACCATCTGAAAAATGCTTGCCTTTCAAAAATAACTTCATTGTTGGAAGTCCGATGGTGTGAGATCGGGTGAATAAG